AGGGGAGGAGGTCAGCTCAATCGGTCTGTTGATACTGGACATAACATCTTAAGTAGCGCTCCACCATCCTGTTTGCCCTCTCCGCAGCACCATTGGTCGCGGGGTGGAAGACTGTACTAACTCCCTGTGAAGACCCCACCATTGCCACGAATCTGCGCCAGAACCAGGCAGTGAATTGCACTCCTCTGTCTGAAATTATCCTTTTTGGGAAGGCCATGGAGTTTATAGACATGGGTAATAAACAGTTTGGCCAGCTTCCTAGCAAATGGAAAGCCAGTTCATGCTCCAAAATGAGCCTGCTTGGAGAACAGGTCTATTATCATCCAAATGACCTTGTTCCCTTGGCTGTCTGGTAAATCCACGATGAAGTCCATGGCTATCTGTTCCCATGGTCAGATTGGATCTACCACCTTCTGTAAAAGTCCAGGAGTTTGTCGGAGCTCCCACCCTGTGCTTCCCACCACCTTTTATAGCTACATTGGTAATTAAGATAAGCTGCACCCCGCGCGTGCGCACACCCATCACCTTGTGACCCAGAACAAAACCACCCGGCAACTAATTATAGATTGTTAGCATGAATTTCTTCAGTTTGTGTAGGTGGAATGGTGAGTCTTGGCAGCTGGCCCAAGCTGCTGAATGGCAGCTCCAGGCCTCAGAGCTGACAATTAGTTTATCACTAAAATCAAAACCCTGGATAATTTAGGTGGTTGAGAATGTACCAGTCAGACCAGCCACAGCTAATTCCCTAGGAAAGAATGACCCTTGATTCCATAGGGAAAAGGTACTTTTACTAGAAATGCTGAGTGCAAGTGAATGGGGCAAGCTCTGAAGAGAAATTGTACGGAAATCTTATATCTGAAAACAATCCCCAACCCTCCCCACTGGGAGGATAGTCCAATCAAATCCTGTGCTGATGTTTTGGTAACCTGGTGCCTCTGGCATTGTGGTAAATTCCTTTTCCAGGGCTGGCATCCTTGAAGGCGGGAAGATGGCTCAACTGGGCACTCCTGGTTCCTGTCAGTGTCCATACTCTCCAATTTCTCACAACAGTCTTTCATATCCCCAGCATTCTTTCCATCCCAAATGCCCCCTCCTCCCAGGTTATGGGACTTGCTAGTGAGCTTCAAAGAAAGCGAAGATAGACAGCTGACAGTACCATTTATATTTTCTCCAATATAATTCAATATAAACCCAATGGTTGCAACTATTTGATACTTCTTCTAAAATGTAATTATGTTAGTGAATCTATATCTGAAGGAACAAATTAATATTTTCTGGTCTATTTCAGTTTTTGACCTTGAGCACCACTGATTCATTGACAGATTATACCATATGATTTATGTTGCAGCATCAGCAATTTAGAGGAGATAATGAACTCAAAGGTCAAGTACAGCACATTTTCAACCCATAATACATGATGTAACAATCTCAGGATTTACATATCAGTAATATTGACAGCCATAAAACTTTATTGAAAATATCATGCAAACTATTGAATGAAGAGATTTGCTAAAAGTAAATTACCTTGATTGCAAGGTGGGCTTTATAAAATCTCACTGCTGGAAGCCTTTCATGCATGTCTTTCAAATGGAAAGCCACACACTCATATATTATTTCCTAACCCACTACAATTAACAGTCTGAATGAATTCCCATGTTTGTTTCTTTGTTTACTTATTTATACAATTTCTATAACTATCCATCTCAGTCAATGATTCTAGGCGGTTTACAGTTATAAAAATACATTATAGTTAAAAATACTAAAAACATCTTAAAACACTAAAAACACCCAGATTAAATATATACAGGAACAAAGTACTTGGCCAGTTAGCAACACAGTCAGTGACACATTTAACACGCCAGGGACAGGAATAGATCCAGGGATTTTTTAGGGCCTTACAAAAGGCTAACTAATAGGGTTGGGACCATTCTAATCTTTGAAGGGAGGATGTCCCATAGAGCAGGGGCCACTGTGAAAAAAGCCTGTCTTCTGATCACTGGCAGCCAACACTCTTTGATGGGATCTGTACCATTTTGTTCAATCTGGTTGGACTGGTAGAGACTCTTGGAAAAAGGCAAGCCCTCAGGTTACCAATTTCAGTAGTCAGTTGTTTAACACAGTAAATAAAGTGTTTCTGATATGCCCCAATGTAGCAAAAGCAAAGGTGCCTATTGAGGAAGAGGTTGCAACAAATGGCTCCATTACAAGATAGACAACAATTATGTATCCCAACCCTTTTAGCCTTCCAGAAGGTTGTGGAGACCTGTCTCTTCTCCTGGGTTTTGGGCTTGATGGGGGTGTTGATCTGAGAGGCTACCATGTTTTCCCCAAAATAAGAGCTATCCCCAAAAATAAGTCATAGTTTGATTTGTACGTGTGCATCTAATATAAGCCCTACCCCAAAATAATCCCTAGTTAAGAACCCGCCCACTCCATACTCAGAGTTGCCTGAACTGTGAGATAGGTGGAAAATTAATTTTATAAATAAATAAATAAGAATGATTTATATGCATTGCTTCTCCTGACCCCTTCAGTTCTATATGTGGCAGTGTTGCTGCATGTTTTTCCCTTTCTCCCATTCTCTCGGCTTCTGATTAGACCTTTATGTTTCCCTGTATTTATATTGCAAGCAACACCTGTCTCTCTTACTTATTAGCTTGCCTTCCCTTGATGCCTACTTGGCACAAAAGACGATAGTATACCATGGATCAGTAGGTATTTATTTAGAGAAGAGGCATCCATTAGCCTAACCCTTCATTTATTAAAAAATGGGGGAAAATAAATCAGGAACAATAAGCAAAAATATTGTTCATTCCTATTTATGATTGGGAACTGACCCAAAGCAAGACAACTCAAAATGCTCACCTCTTGGGGTGATAAATCCCAAAAGATACGACTAAAACAATTCCAATCACAATGATGCCAAGAATAACCCCAAATACAATCAGCCAAATGGGCAGAGGTTGCTCAGCTGGTGGAGCTAAAGTTGATGAGATTTCCAAGAACTGCAGAGTGTCGTCAGTTAATAAAAAGGCGTTGTTGATCCGGTTTCTATTCATTCTTTAAAAAGAATTAGTTTGGCATATTTATAATCAATCAAATCAAATGTAGTCAATAAAAATAATAACTTGTTATATTCAGCATGTAAAATGGCTGAAGAAGAAAATGATTTAACACCAGTTATCATTAATTTCATTTCCAACATCATATTATTATTATTATTATTGTTGTTGTTGTACAATTGTATCACAGCGGCCAGTTGTTTCGCCGGATTTGGCATTGGTTACTAGTCGGGCCC